TCCATTCAAACGACAGCCTCCTAGTCAAGGTACAGGTTCCTCATGAGTACAATCAAGTGTTCGGGAATTCCCATTCTTCTCAATGTTACCCATAATTTGTTATGATCCACACAATCAAATGCTTTTGCACAGTCAATAAAACATAAGTAAACATCTTTCTGGTATTCTTCACTTTGAGCCAAGATCCATCTGACATCAGCAATGATATCCCTTGTTCCACGTCCTCTTCTGAATCCAGCCTGCACCTCTGGAAGTTCTCTGTCAACATATTGCTGCAACTAGCTATCCTAGTAGGTGTGAAATAGTATCTCATTGTAGTTAGATTTGCATTTTCCTAACTACTAATGCACAAATATGGACAAAGAACTTGTGTGTGTATATATATGAACCAAACTCATGGCCATCGAGTTGGATCTGACTCATAGCAACCCCTCCTTGGGTTTCCAAGGCAGTATCACTATGGAAGTAGATTGCCCAATCTTCCTTCCCAGGCTTGGCTGGTGGGTTTGAACCGCCAGCCTTCTGGTTAGCAGTCAAATGCCTTAGGCACTATGCCACCATATACTATATATATATATAGTATATATATATATATAAATGGTAGGGATAGCACTCTTAACAAATGCTCCTGAAAGTAAGCAAGATGAGACAAATATACTACTGGAGATATACAAATTTTATGAATAAGCAAAGCCCCAAGGAAAAATCACAAATGGCAAAAAAAAAAAAAAAAAAAATAGATGGAAAAAGAGGCCCAATCTAATAGTCAAAGAAAACGCAAATCAACACTGAAAATCAGTCTTTTCACAAATAGAATTGGAAATTTTATTGAGATTCCTGGAGAATTCATGCAAGTATTATTAATAATATTTCTGATATTATTGCCAAATCCTTAAATCTGTGCATACCCTTAGACACAGAAATTCCTCTTAAAGGAATTTATCCAAAGGAAAAAAATCATAAGTATATACAGCATCCTTTTAGTTAAAAGGATGTTGCAGTATTTGGATATAACACTGAAATACTGAAAAACAGGGAACCACCTACATATTAAGAATGGTTAAATATATTTTGATACAAATATGTTGTTGTTGTTGTTGTTATGTGCCATCAAGTCAGACCCGACTCATAGCAACCCCTCCTTGGGTTTCTGAGGCAGTATCACTATGGAAGTAGATTGCCCCATCTTCCTTCCGAGGAGTGGCTGGTGGGTGTGAACCACCAACCTTCTGGTTAGCAGTCAAGTGCTTTAGGCACCATGCTACCAGAGCTCATATAGTACATGCAAAAAAGTTATGGTGACAACGTCTTCTGACCACCTCTAACTTAATAAGGGGGAAGAAGGACCAAGATCAGCTGCCCAAGCCTGATTCCTATGGACAGAGGTCAGACATGCTGCCACATTCCAAAGTTTCCACCAAGTCTGACATCAACTGTCCGTTCCACAACACTCTCTATCTACTTCTCTTCTGGGTTCTGTAATTCACTTCAATGGCCACATAGAACTCACAGAAAATACTCACAAGTATGGGTTTATAAGAAAGTTACAGGTTACAAATCAGGATCAGAAACAACTCAGGATACAGTTCTTCAGTCAAGACAGCCTCTTTTCAGCTGTGCCACAGCACACATCTCACTGACTCCAGCCTCTGCCCTGTTCAGGTCAGTGTACAAAACTCTTTTAGCTTTGCCAATAGGCACACAAAGAAGCAGCACCCCACTCTGCCAGTAAGCCTCCTGCCCAAGGCACCCAGGTTTCTCATTCCACGTGCCAGGAAGCCCACCACTCCTTCTCATGCCAGTCTCTTGGTTCTGCTGCCTCTGCTGCTGCTGTCTCTCTGCCAAGGAGGTCCAGTGCAGGGATCTCAGGTCCAAGGGTATGTTCCACTCCTGGTTCTTCTTCTGTGTTTATGGTAGTGAGATCCCCCTTTCTGCCTCTGGGATGGCTCATTTTAAGTGATATAGCAAAACTGACCAATCCCCTCATTAGGATTCCATACACCTTATTTGCATAGTCACACCCAGTTATCTGGTAAAAATCACAAAGACCATGGCTAGAAGAGCGAGATCAAGTAATTCACTGCACTGCAGTATGCAACCATTTAACATTATGTTGAAGAAAAATATGTAATGGCAAAGAGAGAATCATCACTTGAAATGATGAAGATTGAAAAAGTATATGCAAAATAGTATTATAATCTGAATTACTTTTTATACAAATATATATAGATACAAAGAATCACAACTCAAAGCCTATGCATCAAATGTTAATGGTGGTTATCTAAGGAAATTGAATGAATTTTGTTTTCTTCTTTTGCTTTCCACAGTCTCTAAAATTTCTGTAATGAATGTTCTTTTTAAAAAGTCCTCTTTCTTTTCTTTCCTTCCTTATTCTTTCTTTCTTTCTTTCTTTCTTTCATGAAAGGTAGAGAAAAAAGAACATTGCAATGGGTTTGTGTTGCCATGGAGAATGGAAAATTTCAGTGTACCAAATATAAAATCAATCTGAAAACCAAATGTAGTAAAACAGACAATTCTATTTATTGCTCCTTCTCAGATTTTTTTAGAACCATAGTATCCAGAAAGTACCTCTAATTTTAACAGTTAAGAGAAGAACTTGTTCTGGGATTTTGTCTATTACCAGCAAAGCAGAATCCTACGTGACTGCCTGGCATACTTAGTTTTCCATTCACATTAGAACAGATGATGGGTTAGCATCTAACTTCCTCTTCTCTTACTTACTTTGTTCAAGCTATGCTTTCTCTTTCTTGGCTATTGAAAATGGCATATATGCCAACATTACCAGGGGGCGGGTAGTCAGCACAAATTCAATGGCATATGTCTAGGGCCTGGATAAAATCCACTCCCCAAAGTCCTTCCTATTAACATCATTTTTCCCACAGAACAGTAATTCTTACCAGCAGGTATAAGGGACAAGGCTATCAGCATTTCAAAAGGGTGGGGATTCTTCAAACTACACACATCTTATCAAAGGTTCTCTGGCATTTCTATAATAGAATATGCCCACCACTCTCTAAACTCTCTCCCCTAGCCCCTCTACACATACACACATACAGGTTGCAAATTTATGTTTCTCATAAAGAAGTACTGTCCATGTCAAGAGTGTGGAGGTGGAAAACACCTGAGAACAATATCCTAGAACATTCCATTGATCCAGGAGAGAAAGCCCCTGCTGTCTAGATAGGTAGTAAGTAATTTATTTCTCAGTCACAAATTTAAATGGTACTTTTCAATGTGATGTCAAGTTTCAATTCATTTATTTTTCCCCCCTTAGAGATTCATCAGAATGAAAACAAAACAAAAGGCTCTCCTCATTTATGTTAAAATGTGACTTACTTCCGGTTCACGATTAGCCACTCCCGGACATAGGTCTGAACACAGTCTCTGACATGAGGATCCAGTTCAACCCTAGTGAGACAGAAAATGAAATAAAAACATTATTGCTGTGCAAAAAACAAACAAACAGAAACCCATGAGTCAATTGCGACTCATAGTGATCCCATGTGTGTCAGAGAATTGCTGTGCTCCATAAGGGTTTCAATGGCTGATTTTTTCAGAAGGAGATTGCCAGGTCTTTCTTCTGAGGCACTTCTGAGTAGACTACAACCTCTAACCTTGTGGTTAGCAGCCAAAGGCATTAACTATTTGCAAAACCCAGAGACTCCAAAATGCAAAACAACTCTTATCATGCCCAAGGCCAGCAACATGATTTCAAAAATAATCAAATGGGAATGTTAAGGGGTCATTCGTTGTCCATTGACTTCTAGTGTCTGAAGCATTCCAGAGGCAACCAGAAATTGACTTGGATGAGACAAACATGTTGGCCTTTTATGCTTTGTGGGTTGTCTTTATTATAGAGAATCATGTTAAACTACACCTGTCCTTGAAGGCAGTCTGACATAAGACAGGTAGCACTCGCTGTAATCTAATACGAGACAAAGAAAATCAGAATGCGTACATATTTCTCCCAGGAGTAATTTGGAAATATTTTTTGCTCATGGGTAGACTTGTTAGAACACGCATATTCTGCCTATGGAAGCCACGAAGGACCAAGTTGTCTCATGCTTTGAGGAGTTGGCAGGCACTAGCTTTGGTTGGAGACTGTTAAATCAGATAGTTCACGTCATACCTGCTCAGGAGCAGGCATGAGAGATACTTTCCAGGTTTCTGAGTCTGGAAGTCAGTAGTAACTAATTACCCCCATAGCAAAGCTTTTTACAGGAGCCCTGGTGGTGCAGTGGTTAAGTGATTGGTTGCTAACCAAAAGGCCAGTGGTTCAAATTCTCCCATGGCTCCATGGGGGAAAGACCTGGCAATTTGTTCCCTTAAAGATTATAGCAGTAGGCACCCCGTGAGGCAGTTCTGCTCATCCTATAGGGTTGCTATGAGTCGAAATCAACTTGATGGCATGCAAAGTTTTGTACTGTTGCTTGTAATTGTGTTTGTAGTAGAGATGAATAGGTCTAAATGCTACGAGTCTTCATTTTATCATTTATAAAATGTGGATAAGAGCAATAGCCATCTGTGGGATTGCAAATAGCATTAGAGAAAATGTCGGAGAGGTTAACCAGGAGGCCGCTGGGCCCTTACTGCCCAAAGCCTGGCTCCATCACTTAGTAGCTCTGGGACCTTATGTGAGTCACTCAACAGCTCCGTGCCTCAGTTTTCCCATCTTAAAGTAGTGATATTAATAGTAGACTGCCTACTTTATAGAGTTGTGAAAGAATGCCTGGCAGGTGAGAAAATCTATGTATGTGGTATATGGAGTCCCTGGGTGGTGTAAACAGTTAACATAATCAGCTACAAACAAAAAGGATGGAGATTTGAGTGCACTCAAAGCACCTCAAAAGAAAGTCTGCCCTATCTACTTCCAAAAAATCAACCATCAGAAACTCTGTACTCTGACACACGTAGAATTACTAAGAGTCAGAATCCACTCAATGGCAACTGGTAATAAGACAGTTCACACTGGACAATGAACAATGAAGACTGAAGAGGAGTTGATGCCTCTGAATTGTGGTGTTAGGGAAGAATATTGAATATACCATGGACTGACAGAAGAATGAAGAAATCTGTCCTGAAATAAGTACAGCCAGGATGTTTCATAGAAGCAAGGATGGCAAGACTTCATCTCATGTATTTGACATATTATCAGGAGGAACCAATCCCTGGGGAAGGATACCATGCTTGGTAAAGTAGAGCATCAGCGAAAAAGAGGAAGACCCTCAATGAGATGGACTAACACCAATGATGCGTTAAAACAGAAATGATTGTGAGGCTGGTGCAGGACCAGGACAGTGTTTCATTTGGTTGTACATAGATTGCTATGAGTCAGAGCTGACTCGACAGCACCTAACAACAACAACGACGACAGGCACTGATCTAATCACTTTAAGCATATGAATTCAACTAATCCTCAGTCAGCCCTCTAGGGTAGGCACCATTATTATTTTTATTTCGCAGAAATACATGATGTCCAAGATCATATAGCTAGTAAGCAATAGAGCATGAACTTGAACCCAGGCAGCTGGGCTCTAGAGTTTATGCTTTTACACATTACCCTATGGAAGCTTGACATAAAGTTTTGGCCCAGACACAGGGTAATCAGCAGATAACAAAATGATACTATGGCTTACTCAGATAACAAAATGATACATTCTTGTGCTTTAATTATGCAACAGACTTTTGGTAATAATAAAAGTAGCAGAGGCTGATATAAAGTCACCAGAAAGATAATGTGTTAGTTATAAATTCTGGTGACAGGATAATATTATACTCCAAAAGCTGATGCTAAAGAAAAACTACCTCCTCTTTCAAATTTAAAATAATAATAATAAAAAAACTTCCCACATCTAAATTTGGGAGTGCTGGTGGCATAGTGCCTAAGGCATTTGACTGCTAACCAGAAGGCTTGTGGTTCAATCCCACTAGCCACTCCTCGGAAGGAAGGTTGGGCAATCTACTTCCATAGTGATACCACTATAAAATGAACACATCCTAACATCCTAACCAAACCAATTGCTATCAAGTTGATTCTGGCTCACAAAGACCCTATAGGACAGAAAACAACTGCACCATAGGGTTTCTAAGGCTGTAATCTTTATGGACGCAGACTGCCATATCTTTCTCCCATGGAGTGGCTAGGGAATTTGAACCCTCAACCTTTCAATTAGTAGCCAGGCACTTTAACCACTGCACTGCCAGGGATCTTTAAAAGTTCCTGACCCTGAAGAACTAGATGGTGCCCAGCTTCCAATGCCAACCACTCAGAAAAGGATCAAATCTGGAGATCCTGGATAGAGTGGGAGGAAAATCGTGGAACAAAATCCAGACACTCAATAATGACCAGAATTACTGGTCAGATGGAGTCTGATGAGACCCCTAATATTACGGCCCTGGGATACATTCTGGGCCTGGAATAAAACTCACTCTCAGGGGCTGGCTGTCAGCCCAATAGTAAACAAGATGTATACATAGACCACTCAACCCAGGGTGATGCACCCACATACTCTATGTGGTGGAGCAATCGACCACAGGGCACCAGAGGGGCAACATTCACATGAAGGAAATGCAGGACACACAGGAGTGCATAACTATAAGGCACATGGTGGGGGGTTACTGGGCAGGGAGGGAAGGAGACTGGGTTAGGGTTGGGCATGGTAAACAGGAAGCAAAACCAAATGTACATGTAATAGTGAATGTAAAACAAACTTTGCTCTGTAAACTTGCACCTAAAGCACAATAATTAAAAAAAAAAAAATCTAAAAAAAAGGTCCTGACCCATAGTGACCTGATACACAACACAAAGAAACACTGCCTGGTCCCACACCATGCTCACAATCATTGCTATGTTTGAGCCCATTGCTGCAGCCACTATGCCAATCCATCTGCTTGCAGATCTTCCTCCCTTTCACTGACCCTCTGCTATGGCAAGTGTGATGTTCTTCCCCAGGGACTGATCTCTCCTGGTAACATGACTAAAGTATGTAAGACAAAGTATCATCATCTTTGCTTCTAAGGAGCCTTCTGGATATACTTCCTCCAAGACAGATTTATTCATTCTTCTGACAGTGCATAGTACTTTGAATATTCTTCACCAATACCATAATTCAAAGGCATCAATTTTTCTTCACTCTTCCTTACTCATTATCCAGCTTTTGCATGCATATAAGGTGACTGAAAATACTATGACTTGAATCAGCTACAAATTAGTCCTAAAAGTGACATCTTTGCTTTTTAACATTTTAAAGATATCTTTTGCAGCATATTTTCCCAATGCAATACTTTGTTTGACTACTTGACTGCTGCTTCCATGGACACTGACTGTGAGTCTAAGGAAAATGAAATCCTTGACAACTTCATTATTTTTTCCATTTACCATGAAGTTGCTATTGGTCCAGTTGGGAGGATTTTTGTTTTGTTTATGGTGAGGAATAATTCATACTGAAAGTTGTACTCTTTGAGTTTTAGGATTTGAGTTTGTATAATGGGCTAGTCTAGGTGTTCATAGGTGTGGGCATCAGCTACTGGGACCAAGCAAGGGAATTACATCTCTAAATGAAACTTCTGTTACTTCTGTAGTGTAAAACTCAGTGTCATTTTGGAGGTTTTGGATGAACTATGAACACCTAGTCCCTGGAGAAGGACATCATGTTAGGTAGAGGGTCAGCGAAAAGGGGGAAAACCCTCAACAAGATGGATTGATACAGTGGCTACAAAAATAGGCTCAAGCATAGCAAGGATTGTGAGGACAGTGCAGGACAGGGTAGTGTTTCATTCTGTTGCATATGGGGTCGTTGTGTCTTGGAGCTGACTTGATGTCACCTAACAACAACAACAAAATGAACATCTAGACTAACACACTATAGAAACTCACATCCTTAACACCATTCATGTATTCATTCTACCGAGCTTTTTCCTTGCTATTTTTCTACCCAACAAAACTTTCCTCAAGGGCCAGAACTGTGTCTTATTCATCTTTTTAACTGAGTGCCTACCACACAGTGGATGCTCAGTAAATATGTGTCAAATTTATTTTTACAACTTGATTCAATCTCTTATTTGGAAACAATTAAAATTCTTACAACTTTTGGCATTTCAATGGTCATTGTTAAAAATATTGACATTATAACAAATGGACAAACTGAGGTTTGGGTAGATCAAGTGACTCCCCCAAGGTCAGGAGCTTGTGATGTGCCAGGGCGGTGTGGCTCTAGAGCCTATGCTCGAACTGCATTCTGGACACTGGGTCTCTTTAACTGGCTTAGTCTCCACATGGCTGTACAAAGCCTTCGGTCAAACTAATTTCAAAATTACCTATATCTAGATGATTGGACCACATCTGCATATCTCACTAGATTTGAGTAATTTTGTTTGGAGTCCCTGAGTGGAGCAAATGGTTAAGTGCTTGACTACTTGCCAAAAGGTTGGTGGCTCAAACCTATCCAGAGGTACCTCAGACAACAGACCTCTTGGGTGATCTGCTTCCAAAAGGTCACAGGCTTGAAAACCCTATTTGTGCTATTCTGCATACACACAGAGGCCATGAGTCGGAATCGACTTGATGGCAACTACCAACAACTATTTACCTTTAAAAGCAAAGCCGGTAGAATTCTGCACTTCCATGTGGAAGACCAGGGTTTGAGTCCTGGCCAGTGCAGCTTGTGTGCAGCTACCACCTGTCTGTCAGCAGAGGCTTAGGGGTCGTTATGATGCTGAGCAGGTTTCAGTGAAGCTTCCAGACTAGATGGACCAGGGAGAAAGGCTTGGCAATCTACTTCCACAAATCAACCAAAGAAAACCCTGTGGATCACAATGGTCCGGTTCCTAACAGATCATGGGGATGGCATGAGAACCAGGCATATTGTGTCCCGTTGTGCTTGGGGTGCCATGAGTCAGGGGCCAACTTGACAGCTTCTAACAGCCACCATCACAGCCCCTTTCTGATGACAATAACAACAGCCACATCCTGCCCACGTGTTTAAAAAAACAACTCACCCTTCCTCCGGCAAAGAGGGCTGCAGGGTGCGGCATTCTTTTGGTGTGAACACCACCTCCAGGTCGTCGTCAGTGAAGTCCCCCAGCTCCTGAGCCAGCTCCACATCAAGGCTGTTCAGGTGGGTCATCAGAAGGCCTTCAAAGTCCACTGGCTCCACTGGGTCGTAAAACTGAGGCTGGGGAGGGGTGGAGAGAAGAGAGAAAGGGTTTCCCACGTGAGTGGCTAGAAGGGTCAGCTCTCAGGTGGGAGTTGAGGGTCATCTCACACTGCCTTTCGCTTGTTGAGGCCTTGGCTGGCAGAAAGGCCTAGCAGCTCTGTGACGAGCTGTCAAACACCAAGGCAGCACTATGGAAATGGGAAGAAAGGCAAGCAAGGAGAGTCAAGTCCTAACGTGATGAGTAATTAAAATCACACCCCGAGGCCAAATTTTTCTCTGCTTAATTGCATCTTGATGAGGAAACCTGAGGAGATCCAAAATGAGATCATAAGGCTTTGTGAAATGTTCACTTTTCTCCTGCAAAAGCTCTCTGAGGCCATGTTTGCCCGAACTCAGTGAAGCACAGAGGAGTTGGTTTTCCAGAAAGGCAGGCAAATGAGCCCTCCTGTCTAAGCATTGAGGCACAGTGTTTCCTTTGGCCTGAGTGAGGCTGCACGGTGTTCCCTAAAGCACTTCACACGTAATCATAGACCATGCTGAATGACTAGGGGGCCTCCAAAGGACTGCCTGACTGTTGCTGGTTTGGAAAAAACTTCCACCAGACTGCAGCTTATTGAGCAAACTGAGGGCAACCTGCCGAGCTTTCATGAAGCTAAACTTACTCTCCAGGACTGTTCTTGGCTCTTCAATTACATCCTTGCATCACAGGAGCAAGACAACTTAAAAGAAATAATAGATGTAGATGAACTGTGAAACTGGCCTGTCTTGATGTAGAGGGACCTTTTAAAAGAAGAGTCCCTGGGTGACACAGTCAAGCACTGGACTGCTAAGTTAAGGGTTGGTGGTTCAAACCCAACCACATGCACCTCGAAAGAAAGGCCTGGTGATCTGCTTCTGAAGGGCCACAGCCTCGAAAACCCCATGGACACACCTGTGGTTTCCAGCCAAACAAAGTACAGGCATGTGAGTTAAACATTTACCTCAAGTAGACACACGCCCTGGAGAGAACAATCATGGGAGAAGGAAGGGCTGCTTATGCACAGGGAGATAGCTCAGGGTGCAGAAGAGTATGAAGGGATGGACACTGGGAGGAGGTAACTATGGGGAGGAAATGGGAGGGGAGCTGTTGCATTGTAAATTTTGGTCAATGACATGAGACAAAGTATATGTGAACTGCTGTATGAAAAGTCAATTTACTCTGTAAATCTTCACCCAAATCAAAATAAAATTTAAAAAGAAAAAAGAAAACCCCATGGAGCATTTCTACTCTGCACAGCACAGGAGGTTGCCATGAGTCGGAATCAGCTGGGTGGCAACTAATAATGATTTTTAAAGTAATTTTCTTTAGTTGATAAGAAGTTGGTAATTCTTTGTCAATACCCAACTAAACAAAATATTTCTTCTTGCCTGTCAGATCCAAAGACATGGGAACCATTGCCTTAAGGAAATAAAAGAAACACTTAGATCAAGTAGATCTGTGTAACAACAGCAGCAATAATAATAGTAGCTCTATGACATATTCATTTACGGCAGACTTAGAGTCACCAGAGTCCTGGGTGGTGCAAATGCTTAACGTGCTTGGCTGCTAACCAAAAAGTTGGAGGTTCAAGTCCACTCAGAGGTGCCTTGGAAGAAAGGCCTGGCTATCTACTCCCAAAAATTCAGCCACTGAAAACCCTAAGGAGCACAGTTCTCTGACACACACAGGGGCACCAGGAGTTGGAGCTGACTTGATGGCAACTAATTTGGTTTGGTTTTACTTTATGGCAAGAAATTGAGCTAGGTCATTATACACATTATCTCATATCATCCTCACCAGAAGTCTGTAGGGTATGGATTATTATTATCCCCATTACAGATGAGGAAATCAAGGGCTAAAGACAAGGAACTCATCCTTGGTTGCACAGCTAAAGTAGGCCATCTGGAAGTAAAACCCAGGAAAGCTCATGTTCTTAACCACAGAAAACAGTTAATTTTCTCTTGTGGGTTCTTCAGGGCATCTGTATATCCAGGGAAATAATCAAAACATAAGGCAATAGTAAGTGAGTTTGGAAGGGAGTCAAGAAATACACTTCCCACTACTCACACACCTCATTTTGAGCGCCTCATAAGACCGGCTGCTCAGAGTCTTAACAGTTACATTATTACAAAAGCATCAATGACTCAAGCCCTGGCACTGGAAATATGCATTTTAAAATAAAAATGAAGCATAATTTGAAGCAATGTGACACTAGCACTCACACACGTAATGAGTAGCAGCTTCTGTGGAGAAGTGGCTTTTGTGTGAGATCATCAGAGGGAAATGATTTCAGTTTCAGCAAAAGTATATTGTTAAAAATAAACAAACAGAAGCAGTTGCCATCCAGTCAATGCTGACTCACAGAGACCCCCTGTGTGTCAGAGTAGAACTGCACGCCCTAATGTTTTCAATGGGTGATTTTTGGGGAGTAGGTCAACAGGCCTTTCTTCTGAGGTGCCTTCTGGTTAGCAGCTGCGTATCTTAACCATTTGTACACACACACACTCACACACACCCAGGAACTCTATAATATTTGTTATGTCCCTGAAATTCAAAGCCGAAAACAATGAAAAGCCTGGCTGAGAGCAGCACCTATTACCTAAAGGGCACTCTGGCCAAAGACCATGGAGATCAGAGTGACTGACTCCCTCCTTCTGATGGTATTTGCTGAGAATCTATCAATTGCAAATCATTGAGTCAAGCATTAGAGTAACAGAGGAGAGCAGATAGCTACTCTCAGGGAGCTTGCACTCTAGTCAGCCACGAATGGAGGAAGTACGCCACATTTTCACATATAAATAAACCCACCTTGTAGGGAGAGGAAACTATGATAAAGAGCATCCTATTATCACTGGGCACCAATTGTGTAGTCATGTGCCAAGGGCAATATATACAACTGATCATAAGGTTATAAACTTTCTCTTTTTTTTTAATTTTTCTTGTGATTTGGGTGAAAGTATGCAGAGCAAATTTATTTTCCACACACCAGTCCATACACATTTTTGTTTCATGGAATAACTACAATTCCCCACAATGTAACAGCTCTCTTCCCACTTCCTCCCCATACTTACCTCTTCCTTGTGTCCTTCCCTCCCGTGCATTCCCGCCCTTCAAGCTGTCTGCCTGTGCAAACTCTGCCCTTATGTTCTCCCACGATTGATCACTCCAAAGAGTATATCTACCTGATATAAATGTTTGCCCACTTGCCTGTCTGTTGTTTAGCTGGAAGCCACAGGAGTGAGTTCAGTTCCAGACCTGAAGGGTAGCTAGGGGCCATAGTCTCAAGGGTCTCATCAGGCTCTATCAGACCAACAAACTTGGTCTTTCTTTTTTTTTATGATTTTGAGTTTTGTTCCACATTGTTTTCCCACTATATCCAGAATCTCTTGCACTTATCCCCCTCTAAGTGGTTGACAGTGGTAGCCAGGTACCATCTAGTTCTTCTGGTCTCAGATCATAAGGTTATAAACTCTTGAGGTTTGAATATGTGTATCCTAGGAGTGAATAGACTCCAAATATAAACATTAATAATAGAATTATTGAGTATGGTTCTACTGAGTATTATTTCCCCTAACATTTGATTATACCTCAAAAAAAAAAAAAAAAAATCCTCACAAATGGACCAATAAGCATCATCACAATAAACAGAGAAAAGATTGAAGTTGTCAAAGATTTTGTTCCACTTGGATCCACAATCAACGACCATGGGAGCAAGTGTCAAGAAATCAAACAACATATTGCATTGGGCAACTCTGCTGCAAAAGACTACTGCTTTAAAGTGCTAAAATAGCTAAGATGTCACTTTGAGGACAAAGGTGTACCTGACACAAGCCATGGTATTTTCAATTGCTTCCTATGCATGTGAAAGCTAGACAATGAATAAGGAACACTGAAGAAGAAATTATGCCTTTGAATTATGGTGTTGGTGAAGAACCAGGGACTGCCAGAAGAAAGAAGAAATCTGTCTTGGAGGAAGTACAGCCAAAATGATCCTTAAAAGCGAGAATGGTGAGACTTTATCTCATTAACTTTGCTCATGTTGTCAGAAGGGACCAGTCCCTAGAGAAGGATATCATGCTTGATAGAGGGTCAGTGAAAAAGAGGAAGAACTTTGCTCATGTTGTCAGAAGGGACCACTCCCTAAAGAAGGATATCATGCTTGGTAGAAGGTCAGCGAAAAAGAGGAAGACCCTTAATGAGATAGATTGCCACAGTGGCTGCAACAATGGGCACAAGCACGGCAATGAATGTGAGGATGGGGCAGGACCATGCAATGTTTTGTTCTGTCATGCATAGAGTTGTATGACTCAGAACTGACTCAACCTCACCTAGCAATAATAACAACTTCTTCCATAGGAGGCCTGGCGGTGCAGTGATTAAGTGCTTGGCTAGTAACTAAAAGGTTAGAGGTTCAAACCCACCAGCTGCTCTGAGAAAGATGTGGTAGTGTGCATCCATAAAGAATGTTGTTGTTGTTGCTAGGTGCCATCAAGTTGGTTGCAACTCATAGTGACCCAATGTAAAAGAGAAGGAACACTGCCCTATCCTGCACCATGCTCCCAGTCTTTGCTACGTTTGAGCCCATTGTTGCAGCCACTGTGTTCAAAGCATCTCATTGAGGGACTTCATCTTTTTTACGACCCTCTACTTTACCAAGCATGATACTCTTCTCCAGGAACTGGTCCCTCCTGATAACATGTCCAAAGTACATGAGATAGAATATTCTGGCTGCACTTTTTTTTTTTTAAACTTCTATTGTGATTTGGGTGAAAGTTTACAGAGCATATTTTCCATACAGCAATTCACATGTACTTTGTCTCATGATATTGACTGCAATTTCCCACAATGCAACAGTTCTCTTCCCACTTCTTCCCCATAATTACCTCTTCCCTATGTCCTTCTCTCCCATGTACTCCTGCCCCCCGAGCTGTTTCCCTGTGTATACACAGCCCTTCTATTCTCCCATGATTGAGCTCTCCAAGGAGTGTATCTAGCTAAT